GTAGACAGGAATTTTAATGTGCAAACATAGTATGTTAAAAAAGGAAAAATGAATAAAGGAAAAGTGAATTTTTAATGGGCTTGCCAATATATAACTAAATTTAGTATGAACAGAAACAAATTCAGAAAAATAAGTAGAAACAGAAGGAGGATTCTTACAAAAACAATCAAGCAATGCAAATAAACTTTGGAAGGTATTATACAACTCTTCTCCAAGACACAAAATCGGATAGAATTCTCTATTGTAAAAGACAAGCAGGGTCTAGATAAATACAATGTCAACTAAATAGATGTTCTCACTCTGTACAAAGTATTTGGGTTTCCTATGTTATGCAATAATTTGGATTTCACCTGGTACACTGTGCACATGGTACATCATGGAACATACAATTATCTTTAAGATATACCTCAAGGACAACAATTAAGCTCCAGAGATGTCTGTGTAAGCAGCATGGGAGTGCTTACATTGGCCAAGTAAAGACTTTCTGCCAATACCTAGGACATATTTCAGATTCTTTTCAGGAACAGATTTGATCAGATATAGCATTGCATTTTCATGGCCTAGATAGGAAAGTTGGTTTCTGAGAGGCCAACACTATTTCCCCCTTCTGTCTTCAGTTTTCCTATGTATTATTAATAAAAGAGTTTTATTTGGAAGCTGCCAAGACCATTTATCAAGGAGAAGTTTAAGGCAGCCTTTGTTTTGATTTGTGAAATGACTTCTCTTGATGTAAATATGCATTCATTTACACACCGATCCCTTCCTGGTCATTGCCTTCTTTCTGGGAATTGCAGCTAGTGATAGTTAATAATATTTCTTTGTTGTCAATATTTTCAGAAATAGACTACAATGATAGCATTTAATAGTTTTGCAGAGCTTTCTACCTGCTGTCATTCCCTGATGTCAGACCCCATATTATATGTCTTCAGGTTGCTTCAGAAGGTGAAGTAGAGGTTGAGAGGGAAGCTTTTAATTTCCAGTTGGCTGCAACACTCTGAAAGTACCAGTAACCCTTATAATTTTTTTTTTGCATAAAGCCCTTAGCACTCTGGAGAGATGAAAGCCATGCAGATGCTTTCAAAGGCAAAGATCCACAAATAACAAAAGTTGAGTATTCAGTCACTATGCCATAAATAAAGGTTGTGCAAGAGCCACGTGTAGAAATTCACATGAGTGTTCATATCTGTAAAGCAAATGATGTAGATCTGTGCTGTGCTTTATCTGGGATTAAAGAGCCACCTTGACAAATAGGGGTGAGGGCATTGCTGTCGGTTTTTGAAACATCTGATTTCCTCTTGTCTCCTGGAAGCTGATGATTCCTCAGTCTTATTATGACTGGAAGGCAGGTTGTCTCCTGTGGTAATCACAACAAGTCCTTTCTAAAACTACAACATTATTCAGGGGTTCTTTAGCATTCTCACTTGCACAGTAAAGAGAAATCAAGATTACGCATGTATTGATAGTTGTCGATCAGCATGTCTTACAATAGTAGATTTACCTGTATTACTAAGTAGGCCCCATGCAATAAGAGGAAGGAAAAGATGTTTTGGAGGTTAGAGTCCATAAATAGAATGGAACGGATCCAACCAACTTTGCTTGCTTTAAATATCAAGAATTAAAGGAAACACAGATTTCCACTTCTAATACTTGAAAAGTAAAAGAACTGAGACTTTCCCCAAGTGTCCTGAAGAGACTGCCACTCTCCAAACCCCTTGAATTTAGTGTGCTGAAATTTCTGTTGGATCTCTGACCTCCATAACTGTAAGATCATATAGGTCTGTATCATTTTAAGTTGTGAGGCATGCGATGTGTTGTTATAGCAGTAATAGAAAATGAATCCCCCATTTGATCTACCTTGGCAGCTTCAGCTACATGAACCTGCTTGCTGTGTGTCTTATTTATTTATGGTTCAACTGTGTTCTCCTGGAGTTTTCATGTCTAAGAACCTAATCCAAAAACAATAGTCTGTCTAAAGACAACAGCAACTGTGTGCATCTGTCATGCTTGTCATTGTTGATTTCCTATATTACAACATGTGAGGGATTGCTAAGTGTCTTCTAGCAGATTATCTTATTTAATTGATATAAGTTTGACCTCCCTGATAATATCTTCCTAATTTCCTCCACAAAAGCTACAGACTCCTTTATTATATTATGGATTTCTATTACCAATGCAGCAACAACTTATGTTGTTTAATTGATTCCTTAATATTTCCCAATTTTCTTATTTATTTATTTATTTATTGGCTTTTTCTTTTTTTTCTTTTTTTATTAGAAAGGAAATTATTTTATATGTCAATCCCAGGTCCCTCTCCCTCCCACCCTTCCCTTCCCCCCAAATAACACCCTACCTATCCTATACCCATTCTGCTCCCCAGGGAGGGTGAGGCCTTCCATAGGGGTCTTCAAAATCTGCCATATTCTTTGGGAAAGTGCCTAGGCCAACCCCCTTGTGTCTATACTTAGGGAGTATCCCTCCATGTGGGATGGCTCCTAAAGTCCATTCCTATGGTAGTGATAAGTACTGATCCACTATAAGAGTCCCCATAGATTTCCAAGGTCTCCTCACTGACACCCAGGTTCAGGGGGTCTGGATCAGTCCCATCCTGGTTTACCAGCTATCAATCTGGGGGCCAAGAGGTTTTCCTTGATCAGGTCAGCTGTTTCTATGGGTTTCACTAGCCTAGTATGGACCCCTTTGCTTAACACTCCTCCTTCTCTGCATCTGGATTTCAGTTCAGTTTATAGTTTAACTGTGGTGTCTGTTTCTACTTCCACCAGCTGCTGGATGAAGGCTGTATGATGGCATATGAATTAGCCATCAACCTTATTATCAGGAGAGGACATTTAAGGTAGCCTCTCCTCTGTTGCTTACATTGTTAGTTGGTATCATCTTTGTAGCTCTCCAGACATTTGCCTAGTGTCTGATTTCTCTTTGAACTTATAATGTCTCCCTCTATTATATTATCTCTTATCTTGCTCTCTTCTGTTCTTTCCCCAACTCAAACTCCATGTACCATCATGTCTTCCTCACCCCTCTTCTTCTCCCATTCTCATTCTCCTAATTCCCTCTCCCTCCCTCCCCATGCTCCCAATTTGCTCAAGAATAGATCTTGTCCTATTCGCCTTCTCCTGGAGACCATGTATGTCTCTCTTAGGGCCCTCTTTGTTTACCAGCCTCTCTTGCCACCTGGGCTACAGGCTGGCAATCCTTTACTTTATGTCCAAAATCCACATATAAGTGAGAACATACAATGCCTGTCTTTTTGTGACTGGGTTACCTCTCTCAGAATGGTTTCTTCTAGTTCCATCCACTTGCCTGCGAATTTCAAGATTCCATTGCTTATTTTTCCCTGCTGAGTAGTACTCCATTGTGTAAATGTACTGCATTTTCTCTATCCATTCTTCAGTTGAGGGGCATCTAGGCTGTTTCCAGGTTCTGACTATTATAAGTAATGCTGTTATGAACTCTGACAGAGGGCTAATCTCCAGAATTTACAAAGAACTCATGAAGCTAGTCTCCAAAACACCAAATAATCCAATTAAAAAGTGGGATACAGAACTAAATAGAGAATTCTCAATAGAGGAATCTAAAATGGCTGAAAGACACATAAGAAAGTGTCCAACATCCTTAGCCATTAGGGAAATGCAAATTAAAACAACTCTGAGATACCATCTTACTCCTGTCATAATGGCTAAAATCAAAAACACCAAGGAAAATTTATGCTGGAGAGGATGTGGAGAAAGGGGAACACTCCTCCACTGCTGGTGGGAGTGCCAACTCATACAGCCACTTTGGAAATCTGTATGGTGTTTCTTCAGGAACATGGGAATCAGTCTACCACAAGATCCAGCAATTCCACTCTTAGGCATATACCCAAAAGAAGCACATTCCTACAACAAGGACAACTGTCCATTTTTCTCCATTAGAGGTAATTATGTACTTGCCTACAAATTTATTTCTTTTAAAATATCATTTCAAAGTTTTTACTTGTGTGTGTCTGCATCTGCATCAGTGTGTATATACATGTGCATACAGCTGCTCAGAGAGAGGCCAGAAGAGGGCAGTGGATTTCTCTGAGTCTGGAGTTATTGCAAGTTTTGAAATGCCAATCTTGGGAGCTAGGAACCAAACTCCAGTTGGCTCTTTCAGCTGCCGTTGTTCTTTTCCATTTCACCATCTATAAAACCCCCTTTATCTGTATTTCTTTGGTGTTTACTCTCCCAGTCACTTGCAAACACTAATACTAGCATCAAAAGAGCAGAAAGACAGTTGAATATGTTGATCTAGTGATGCTTTATTACACTGTAAATCCCTGGGTCTCCAAATCTTTATGGATAATGCACAGCAAGGTGTCCGTACACTCATGCTTAGAAACATTGTCTAGGGTATTGCAAGAAGGATAAATGTGCCCTGTGAATTCCTCCCTTTGGTGGCTCTTAACATTGTTACCTAGAAATGACACAAGCAACACATAATTCATTGGGTAAAATAAAATGTGAATGACCAAACCTGTACTCAACAAGAAAAGTACATACATGCTCCTATTCATGGAAATAGAAAACATCTACTAATAACAAAGTATTATTCTCAATGAAGTAGACCTTTGAAGAGGGTTTATGAAGTCTGAATGTCTATAACACATGTTTTGGTTGTGCTGTAAGTAGTCCAGTGGGAGATACAGCAAGAACTGTGTGACTAAAAGGTCCTTATGTGAAGAATTGAGCACCTGTGTTTGGAATCTGACACTGAGCCTGCAGAAGCAAAAAGAGAAAGGACTATAGAATTTTATGAAGAGTCTGCATGTCAGCTTAGGAAATATATGAGAGACTTTAAAAGATTACTAGAGAAAGTTAGCAGTGAGTCCAGGGTTGTGTCCTTTTACAGATATTTGATACAAAGAGACAGCTTGTATGCAAGGACCTCTGGAACCAACTACTGTTTGTTTAGACTTATTATGTTCAGATTCAGGGTGGCAAACAGAGACCATCTGCATTTACCTTTATGCATATCCATGGATGTTACTTCATTTCTGCAACTATTACAATATCCCAGGTTCCCTGCAAAGCAAGAAGGCAAAGAATAAGACTGTGTAGAACAACTGGATAATGGAAAATAAAACTGGCAAAAGGAGTTTTCTAGAATAATCTAATGGAAATAAAATACCTATAGAAGCTTGTGAAAATTCATAATTAAAAATTCACACACCCAGGAATACAAAGATTACATTAAAACAAAAGCACAAAAGTATTGATATAAGCACCAAACAAACAAAACAAATTTCAACCCAAAAGAATAAACAGCCAGAACTGCATACTCCCCAGTAATCTATGTGTCCTGGAGAAGAGCAGGTGGCTTGGTTTGTGTTGAAACATGAAAATGAAGCAGAAAATAACACGTGACAAGGCACAGGAATACAACATATTGACCATCCCTTTCCCAGGGTCCTCATTCCCAAGACTATACTCAGTTTCTCATTCCTAATATCATGTACACAATGAAGTTTTTAAAGCTTATTGTTATTTTATGACAAACTTATAAAAACTATAGTGATGTAAAAAATATTATTATTATTTTGCCAAAAATATATCAGTACGGTAAAATTTAAAGACATCAATTTGATTTAATTACTGTAGTATGGTAGTGTGGAAACTATTTGTTGTGCATGTGCCTGCTACCAGAAACTTGTGACCCATTCAAATTTATCCATATAGTGATTTCTTCAAGGCAATTTCTGGCTGCATGCAACTAGAATATTCAATGAAAATTACTGTAAGTGATTTTGGCTTTATTATTTGTTCATAGAGTGGTATTCTGAGGATGTATTTTTCTTGTTTCTTACACATTTCTGAATAACCATTTCCTTAAATCTCAAGGAAAACCACTTTAAAACTCTCTTTTCTTCTGAAACATTTTATTTTCATACAAGCATTGTTTTGCACAAAAGCCATGGCATTACAAAGCAGAGAGACATTGGTAGTGCTTAGTCACATGGTCTTGAATCAGCTCCATAAGGAGACTCTTGGGCCCATCAATGACTGGAACTTTTTCCTACGAGTAAGCTTTGTGTGTTTGGGCAACTCTTTGTGATGGTTTGTTCACAAGCAATTGTAAAAATACTGGAGATTGGAACCTTAGAAAAGGAGTATCTTTTGCTCACAGGGGAGTGAAATAAGCAATTCAATATGAGGTCCTAGAAGGAAAATACAATAGAAAGACCAGAGAGTCACAGATATTGGTATGTCAGGGTCTTTTTATTCTGAACTGTAGATTTTAGGAAATTATTTTTAAATGACATAGAAAAATTTCATAGGTGTGTATATGTGTGCCATGTATATGCCTGTGTGTGTGTGTGTGTGTGTGTATTTGTGTTCCTCTGTGTCTCCCTGAAACAAATGGTCTAAAATCTTGAATGATATAATTTAAGAGAACAAAATGTTAATTAGTTATATGTAAATATTCTGTTCTATTTAAGTTTTAATATTTGCCAATTACTTTCCACTCAATACTGCATAAGGAGAAATGCCTTCTTTGTAGAAATAAGGCAATACAAGGCCCTAAGAGAGCTGTTATGATAAGTAATTAAAATAATATTATTTAAGTAGTTACTGTGTTATATACCCGATACTTAATGAACATACTTTGGGTTTTAGCGTCATTATGCTTCTGTTGTAATCAAATGTAACTTGAAGGCATTTCAGTCTTACAGGGACTGTAAGGAGGCTCATGCTGAGAACAACCCTGCATGCAGGCCTAACCCTTACTAGCTTTGGCTTCATTTGACTAGTTAAAGAAGGTTTCCTTATTACAACATATTTCTTTGCATTTTCTAAGAATGTTGCATCATTTTTATATAAGCACAGCACAGATATTAACTTTAAGAAATTAATAGTATTCAAATGACTTTTATCCAACCTATGAGCTGTGTTTCAGTGTTTCCTTGAATGAATACCTTCAGCATTTTTTTGTCACAGTACATTTTAGAGGTATTTTACCAAATTATGTTTTATATTTTTATGATTGGTTTTATCTTTACATATGTCTGTGGGTGGGTCTGTTTTCGGGACATAGTCTGTGTTTGGGGAAGCTGGAAGGGGGCATGTGATCTATAAGAGCTGGAGTTACAGGCACTTGTGACCCACTGGAACTTGGTGCTGAGAACAAATTTAGTTTCTCTTCAAGAGCTGCAGATATTCTTAACTACTGAGCTATCTCTTCAGCACATAGTTTTTAATTTGTAGACTCTTCAAATTCTGGAACATTATTACCATGGTGTTGGCTCTTTTTATGACATTGACATTTTAAAAACTATAATTGCGTTTTATTTTTAATTACTGATGTTTCACAATTCTGTGATGTTTCTTCTACATTATTAGATTTGCAATATATATTTTTTGACTGGCATAACACCGGGAAAGTGTTGCTTGTTTCTTAGAAAATTATATTGGCTGTAACACATGCGTTCATTGGCTGTAATTCTGATATCTGGTTTGTTCACTGTACAATTTCCTATTTTTCATCTAACAACTAATAGAGACATTGTATAGAGATACACTTAAACCACTCTTGGGTTCTTTGTCAATTGAGAGAACCTCCAACTTACCATCCACTGTCAACAAAATTCACTTGCAAATGAATGAAAAGATATGTTGTATTAATTGATTATTTATTCATTGTGAAACAGAGATGATGCTGCAGCCCTCAATACAAAATATGTGTTCTCAGAGAGAACAACAGAAAGGGCTAGGTTGTACAGAGTTCCATTTCAGATACTAAAGTTAGTATGCTCATGATCCTTCATGCTGGAAACCCTGTCTAGCACACAAATTATATAAACATTAATAATAAACTGTAAACCTAAACTTTTGATGTAATTCATGTTGTTTTATAATTATGGTGTAGCACTGTGAAAATATTATGCAAGTAAACAGTCTAGACAGTCATTTATGCCTAACAAAATATTGCAACACTGTCCCTGTAGGAGGCTGTCTTGAGTTTGATCAGTTGCTGTGAAAGACAGTATCAGAAAAAAGAATATCAGCAATTTTAAAGGAAAAACAAATTCTATGGCAGAACCTATTTTGTATTTCTTTTTCATTTTAAATTATTCATTTTACATACTTACCACAGTTTCCCATCACTCCCCTTCTCCCACACCACCCACTTTCCCTGTCCACCCCCTATCCACTACTCAGAAAGGGTAAGGCTTCCCATCAGGAATCAACAAAGCCAGACATATGAAGTCGAGGCAAGAGCAAGCCCTTCCCTTCTGCCATCAAAGCTGAGCAAGGCATCCCACCATGGGGAATGGACTCCAAAAAGCCAGCGCAAGTACCAAAGGTAAACCCTGGTCCCACTGTCAGTAGCCTCACAAACAGACCAAACCACACAACTGTCGCCCACATTCAGTGGGCCTAGGTTGGTTCTATGCAGGATCCTCAGCTATTGGTCCAGAGTGTGTGAACTCCCACTAGCTTAGGTCTGTTGTCTCTGTCGGTTCCTCTGTCATGATCTTATATCCCCTTGCTCAATCTTTAACTAAACTCCTGGAGCTCAGTCTAGTCCTTTGCTGTGGATCCCTGCATCTGCTTCCACCAGTTACTGGGTGAAGGTTCCATAATGACAATTAGGGTAGTCACCCTCTCCACTATTGCTAAGAGTATCAGCTGGGGTCATCCTTGTGGATTCCTGGGAATTTTTCTGGCATCAGGTTCCTCTTCAAACCCATAATGGACCCCACTATCAAGATATAACTTTCATTGTTCTCTCTCTCTATCCCTCCACCAACTCAACTATCCCATTCTCATGTTCTCATTCCCCATTGCCTCTGATCTACCCACTCCCCACCCACAGCTTACCCAGGAGGTCTTATGTATTTGTCCTTACTAGGGAGATCCATGTGTCCTTCTTAGGGTCCTCCTTGTTACCTAGATTCTCTGGGCCTATGGATTGCAGCCTGGTTATCCATTGCTTTACATCTAATATCCATTTATGAGTGAGTACATAGCGTGTTTATCTTTCTAGGTCTGGGTTACCTGACTCAGGGTGATTTTTTTTATCTCTGTCCATTTGCCTGCAAATTTCATGATGTAATTTTATTTCTAATAATAGTTTTTGAGAGGTTGCAATGGGCCTTTGCCTTACTGAATTTTTTTCAGTTTCATGAGGTCCTTGGATGGGGGGATATCCTTCTGTATATATGTTTTTCTTATTGGTTGATAAATAAAACACGGTTTGGCCAAAGAGGCAGGAAGATAGGTTGGACTAAGAGACAATGAGAATTCTGAGAAAGATAGGCAGAGGGAGCCCACCAGAAGAGTTGTCATGTAGACTACACAGAAGTAACAGGTCTGGGCATTCTCCAGTAAGACAAGACCACATACAAATACATAGATTTATAGAAATGGTTTAATAATTAAGTCAGAGCTAGCAATCAGAAGCCCTAGCCATCAGCCATCAGTTTAACAATTAATATAGCATCTCTGTGTTTATTTGTGCTGAAGCAGTGGTGGAAACTGGTGGGACAAAGGGAACCTCCAGCAATAGTCCCATTTATTGATTGTCAGTCTTAGTGTCTTTGTTATTGGTGTTCTGTTCAGGACACTGTCTCCTGTGCTAATGAGTTCAAGGCTATTCTTCAATTTCTCTTCTATCAGGTTCAGTGTATCTGTATTTATATTAAAGTCTTTGATCCACTTCAACTTGAATTTTGTGCAGGGTGATATAGATCTATTTGAATTCTTCTATATGCCAACAACCAGTTATAACGGCACATTTCTTGAAGATGCTTTCTTTTTTTCATGTATAGTTTTGACTTCTTTGTCAAAAATTAAGTGTCCATAGTTGTCTGGATTTATGTTCAGTTCTTTCATTTGATTCCATTGATCAAGGAATCTGTTTTTATGGCCAATCCCACATTACTATAATTCTGTAATATATCTTGAGATAAGGGATGGTGATACTTCTGGCAGTTCCTTTATTGTACAGGACTGATATCCTGGGTTTTATGTTTTTCCATATGAAGTTGAGTATTGTTCTTTGAATCTCTATAAAGAATTTTATAAGATAGTTTATGGCTAATTTGAAGAGGATTGTTTCTGTGATTTTTTTTCCATTTGGGTATAAGACAGCTACTTTTTAAAAATTTAATCTTGTATCCAGTTACTTCGCTAAAAGTGTTTATCAGTTGTGGGAGTTCCCTGAAAGAATTTTTAGAGTTAATTATGTATACTGTCATATCATCTGCAAATATCAATACTTTGACTTCTTTCTTTCTAGTATGTATCCCCTTGATCTCTTTTAGTTGTCCAATTGCTCTAGCTAAAAGTTCAAATGCTATACTGAATAGATATGTAGAGAGTAGACATACTTGTTCCTGATTTTAGTGGAATTGCTTTGAATCCTTTCAACTTGATGTTGGCTGTTGGCTTTTTCTGTATTTCTTTTATTATATTTAGGTATATTCCTTGTACCCCTGATCTCTCCAAGACTTTTATCATGAAGGGGTGTTGGATTGTGTCAAAAGTTTCTTTTTAAGCATCAAATAAGATGGTGATGTGCTATTCTTTTCTTTCAGTTTGCTTATATAGTGCATATTTGCAGTTTGCTTATATAGTGCAGTTTGCTTATATCAGCAGATTTTCATATATTGAACCATTCCTGCATCTGTGGAAGCCTACTAGATCATAGTGGATCATTTCTTTAATGTGTTATTGGATTCAGCTTGTCAGTATTTCATTGAGTATTTTTTAGATTATTTGTAATTTAAATTAGAAACAATCTTATTTTACATATCAATCTCAGTTCCCTCTCCCTCCCTCTCTCCCATCCCTCCCAACCACCATCTAATCCCCCTTCTGCTCCCCAGGGAGGGTGAGGCCTTCCATTGGGGGGGGGATCATCAAAGTCTTTCACAATATTTTGCACAGGGCCTAAGCCCTCCCCCATGTTTCTAGGCTAAGAGAGAATCCTCTACGGGGAATGGGCACTCAAATCCATTTGTACACTAGGGATAAATACTGTTTCACTACCAAAGGCCCCATAGACTGTGCAGGCCTCCTAACTGACACTCACATTCAGAGGGGCCTGGTCATATGCTGGTTCCCTAGCTGTGAGTCTGGAGACCATGAGTTCCCCTTGTTCAGGTCAGCTATTTCTGTGGGTTTCTTCAGCCTGGTCTTGACCCCTTTGCTCATCACGTTTTACTCTGCACTGGATTCTAGTAATTCAGCTCAGTGCTCAGCTTTGAATCTCTACTTCCACTTCTATCAGCTACTAGATGAAGGCTCTAGGCTAGCATATAAAGTAGTTATCAATCTCATTATAGGGGAAAGGTATTTAAGGTAGCCTCTCCACTATTGCTTAGATTCCTAGTTGGAGTCATCCTTGTAGATTTCTGGACATTTCCCTAGTGTCCAGATTCTCTTTAAACCTATAATGGCTCCCTCTATTAAGTATCTCTTTTCTTGCTCTCCTCTATTCTCCTAAAGTGGAAAATTACCACTATGGAGCCAGATAGAAATATAGGGGTATTTAATAGGGAAAATCCTTACTTACAGAGCAGCCTAGCCAGCCGGCATGACAGCAGTCTGTACAGCAAGCCGGAAAGAAAACTGAAAGTGAAACTGAAAGCGAAACCCAGCCACCTGAAACTCTCACTCTACATCACCCTGACCACGCCCTTGCAGGAGTGGTCAGACACAGATGCACCTGTAGTCAGCCCTATTAGGCATGGCTACTGCTTCCCCTACAATTCCCCTTTTAGTCTAAAAGTGGATTAAGACTTAACAGTGTAAAGTATCCAAAATTAACAATCATAAAGGTGAAATATAAGAAGATACAACAATTTGCTTATGTCACATCATAGCTATCTATTTTAACTAAATCCTAAAGTCATCTGAAAGAGGTGTTCAAGCCTGAACACCTCCTTCCAATCCCAACAATAAACAATAGGAAGCTATCCCTAACTAGGTATATACACTATTCTAAGTGACAACAACGGGGGAAAGGGGACATAGCATTCTCCAAGTTACTTCCTGCTGAAATGGGATGATGACAGCCTTGTGGGGTAGGAAAAAATGTTAGTATAGTAAAAGTCTTGAATGGATTGTATCTAGTCCATGTTAGATGAGATTTGCTTGATTGAAGATCTCGCCTGAAATCCTCAACTTGATTGAAATCAGTACCTGAAGCTTTGGCCGGAGTGTCAGTTGAAATGGAGCAAGTTGGATCCAGTGCAGTCAAGGATGTGTGGCCCATTTTCTTTCCAGAGTGTCCAGGGATCGCTGTCAGGCAGGTCTTCATTGGCTGTGTGGGACTCAAACATAAACAGTTAGCAGAGAAATGTTTACTTGTGTATGTACACGTGTTGGGGAAGGCAACCTTGGGAACATAACAATTATGAGAGGGTGTACTCCTTGAAAGAAAGAGCCAAGAAAGACAGATAGTCCCCACCCTCTTCTTTTATTATGTATTACATCAATTGGCTTCTTGATACAATACAGAAACTCTAAAGTTTAGTTAAATAACATGCTTGGATTTTAGAGGAGGAAAGCCAAATCCACCTCTAAATCCAGCATTGATTTAATTGAATAGGGACTAGAAAAAGAGAAATAGAGTTCTCTGAGAGACAGCTGTAAAGTTTATTGTATGGCATGTTCCTTTTTTTTTTTTTTTGGCAGTTATAGCTACCTTCTCATCTTAAGTATCTACCCATGCAGTGTCCTTTGCCTTCTGTAAATGAGTTTTCCTGAAGATAAGAGAAAACCACTTCCCTTTCCTTTGGGAGATGTCTATTTAGTTTATGAGATATACCTTAGTAGAATACCTGTCATTTCTCCTTGTCGAGGGGTTTTTCCTTTTCAACTCGAATCTTGACCAACTTTGATGGAATCCAAAGTTTTTCTTTTCCTGTGGAAACCAATGCAAAACCCCTACCCCATCATAACACATGTCTTGGTTTCCATACAGAGGTTAGTACATCTGTGAAGAATGCTGGCTGATTGAGTTCAGCAGTTTTTTCCCCGTAGTCCAGTGTCTTTCTGCAGCTGTTTGTCCTTTTTCATTGGCATTAAGAAAGTTTATAAAGCATTATGCAACCTATAATTGGGGGGTTTAGACTTCCAAGCTTGTTTGTTGAGCATCTCCTTTAGTGTTCTTTTTAGATCTCTCAACCACTGTTTGTCCCGTAGGATTGTGTGGTATACCGGTGACATGCATAATCTTCCTACTTCCTCGTGTCCTCCCCCCTCCTTTTCTCCCCTTTGATATCTCCTAACTCCTTCTCCCTTCCCCGATGCTCCCAATTTGCTCTGGTGATCTTGTCCCTTTCCTGTTATCCAGGGGAACCTATATGTCCCTCTTAGGGTCCTCTTTGTTTCCTAGCTTCTCTGGAAGTAAGGATTATAGACTGGTAATTCTTTGCTCTATGTAAAAAATCCATATATGAGTGAGTAAATACCATGTTTGTCTTTTTGTGACTGGGTTACCTCACTCAGGATGGTTTCTACTTGTTTCATCCATTTTCCTGAGAAATTCAAGATTCCATTGTTTTTTTCCCACTGAGTAGTACTCCATTGTGTAAATGTACCACATTTTGTTTATCAATTCTTCAGTTGAGGGGCATCTAGGTTGTTTCTCAGTTGGGCTGGAGAGATGGCTCAGCCATTAAAAGCAAGGCTAACAACTAAAAAATTTATTTTGTATTTTTACATCAATGTTCTTGAGGGAAATTGGTCTGTAATCTCATTCTTTGTGTGATTTGGGCTTCAGGGCAGCTGTTAACCTCATAAAAATAATTTAGCAATTTTCCTTCTTTTTCTGTTTTATGGAATAATTTGAGGAGTATTAATTTTGGAATAATTAGTGGTATTAGCTCTTCTTTGAAGATCTAGTAGAGTTCTGTGTGGTAATCATCTGGGCTTTTCTTGATTGAGAGACTTTTAGTGACTATTTCCCAAGGGGTTATAGGTCTGTTTAAATTATGTATCTGTTCTTAGTTTAATTTTGTCATATTGTATCTATCAAGAAATTTGTCCTTTTCTTTTATATTTTTCAATCTTGAGGAGTATGGGTTTTGAAGTATGACCTAACGAATGTCCGGGTTTCCTCAATGTCTACTGTTATGTTCCCATTTTCTATTCTGATGTTGTTAACTTGAATATTCTCGCTCTGCCTTTTAGTTAGTCTGCTTAATGGTTTGTCTAGCTTGTTGATTTTCTCAAAGAACCAACTCTTTGTTTCATTGATTCTCTGTATTGTTCTCTTTGTTCCCATTTTATTGTTTTCAGCTCTCAGTTTGATTATTTACTGTGCTCCATCTTCTCAGCAGCCCACTGAATGGGAAAAGTTCTTCACCAACTCCACATCTGAAAGAAGGATGATATCTAAAATACATAAAGAATCTAAGAAACTAGATATCAAATAACAAATAATCCAATTAAAAGATAGGGTTCTGACCTAAATAGAGAATTCTTAACAGAAAAAAATCTCAAATGTTAAAAAACACTTAAAGAAATGTTCATCATTGTTAGACATTAGGGAGATGGAAATCAAAACAACATTGAAATTCCACATTACACCCGTGGGAATGCCTAAGATCAAAAACACCAATGAAAGCTTATGCTGGAGAGGATGTAGAGTAAGAGGAATACTCCTCCATCACTGCCAGTAGTGCAAATTGTACAGCCAGTTTAGAAATCAATTTTTCCGAAAATTGGGAATCATCCTACATCAAGACCCAGCAATATCACTCTGGGACATATACCAAAGGAAACTCAATCATACCACAAAGAAAGTCACTCAACTATGTTCATTGACGCTTTATTCATAATATCCAGAGCCAGTAAACAACCTAGATGCCCCTTAACTGAAGAATGGATAAAGAGAATGTGGTATAACTACACAATGGAGTATTACTCAACTGTTAAAAACAATGGCACCAGCAAATTTGAAGGCAAAGGTATAGAATTAGATTAAAAAATCACCCAAGTGAGGTAGCCCAGACCCAGAAAGACAAGCGTGATATATATTCACTTGTATGTGGTTAATAACTGCAAAGTAAAGGATAACCATAGTACAATCCACAGACCCAGAAAGACTAGGTAACAAGGAGTGCTCTATAGGGGAAACATGGGTCTCCATAGAAAGAGGAGATAGAGGAGATCTCCTGGGTGAACCGGAGGCAGGTGGGCATAAGAAATTGAGGGATTGGGCTGGGGACTGGGTGGAAGGGGAGAGTACTGAAAGTGTACTGAGACTAGAACAGTGGGATTTACACAATCAGGTAGAATCCTGATGCAAGAGAAACCTCCAGGAGTCTGTAAGAATGGCCCTCTGTAAGACTTCTAGCAGAAGTGGATGCATAGCCAGAACTGTCCATCCCCTATCATTGGATTGGTGACTACCCCAGTTGTCATCAGTTAGCTTTCATCTGGTGATTGATGGAGACAGGTTCAGAGACTCATGGCCAAACTTTGGGTTCTGTTCAAGGAGTCATGCTGAGGAGATGGTAGAGGGATTGTTGGAATCTGGGAGCAGGGACATTGGGAAAAAAAACCACAGAAATAGCTAGCCTGGCTCATGAGAACTCATGGAGTCTGAACCAACAACTGGGAACCTGCATGGGATCCACCCAGGCCCTCTGCTTATATGTGACAGTTGTGTTGTGTGGCTTGGTCTATTTGTGGGACTCCTGGAGCTGGGAGCAGGAACTGTCCCTGGTGCTTTGGCTGGCTCTTGTGAACCTGTTCCTTCAATTGGATTGCCTTGCCCAGCATTAATTCAGAGGGTGGTGCTTGGTCTTATGGCAGCTTGATATGCCATGTTTGTTGATACCCTTTGAAGGCCTGCTCCTTTCTGAGTAATTAAGAAGAAGGGATGGATGGGGAAGGGAGGTGGGAAGGGAAGTGAGAGGAGAGGATGTATGGGAGACTGTTGTCAGGATGTAAAATAAATCATTTAAATAAATCACAAAAGATGGAAGTTGAATTGGGATATTTCTGCAAAAAACAGGTATACTGGGATAAAGTTAGGACAATGTGACACTGTTCTACTAACCTAAAAGAATTATCTAGTGAAAAGACAAGTTATATGCTCATTTATGGATAGGATGGAATGATATTCATATGTCAAATTTCATTTCGAAAAATTAAGAGACACTGCTTGAAGGAAATGTCATGAAGAAGTTATGAGTGACCAGAAGAATCCTTCAGAATTAGATCAATCCAAAATTTGAGAGAATAGGAGTTTCGAAGTAGTTAATGGAAAATCCGTATCAGTATTTTATTTTAGAATATTTTATAATGTGAGGTGTTGGGAATACAGGTGTGTGTGTGTGTGTGTGTGTGTGTGTGTGTGTGTGTGTGTGTGTGTGCGTGGGTGTGTGTGTATGTATGTGTGTATCTGTATGTATTTCTCTATATATATGTGTGTGGTGTATGTGTGTACATAGTGTACATGTGTGTCTGTCTATGTTTGTGTAAATATTTTATAAAATGAGCCACAGTTGCCATAGTGTCACAAATGTTATGGGAGTCACCAACCATTTTCTGATTAGATTTAAGTCCTATTCCAGTTAGTGAAACTTATACTT